CAAATTACCAGGATCATATCTGTGCAGGAAATAGAGCAATTTCCACATATAGGTTGTAATGCTTGTTCATATGTGAGGAAATGGCTGTTGGCAGCAGCTTGTCAGTGTATGTATGCACAACAATTTACACACATACACACATTCCTCATCCCATTCTGATATACTATGTGTAAGACATGTACCCAGGCCTGTGTGTCATTTGTGCTCTTCATCAGAAGTGTTTGACACCAATGGTAGGTGAGATCCACAACTCACTTGTTCCAAGTTCAGATGTTGTTGATCTCTCTTCTTGATTATGTACTTTGGCTTGAATCCTCACTTCCTCTCTTTCAATAGAACAGTTCCATTAATGGAACAGGGCTTTCCTGCTCCCCACTTCCCACTATAGCACCCCACGTTCTCTGGAAATCCATTCCTGTGGAACCTTTGGAAATGTTGTGGGATATGCTGTTTGGGATTACACATGGAAGGGAAAGCCAGTAGAAATCACCACCCCTTGTGCAAATGGAAGAGCAACTTAGAATCCAAGCCATTGTGTTGGGGGAAGAGATGGGAAATAAAATTTATATACAAAAAAATACTTTGAAGTAGTAGAAGAACAAGGTCCATTAATGACACAAATCCCTGCCTTTACTTCTGTATGGCAAATGGTCTGTTGGCATGGCATAGTTTCAGAAGTTTAATGTAGGAGCAAATATTTGTCATTGGTAATTATCACAGGTTTCTCCAGTCTGTAATAAGAGTTTAAAATGTAATGTATCCCCCCCCCATTATTGAATGTTATGAGCGTTGGTGTTTCTATATTTTTCCCCACAATAAACTAATGAAAATAACCTTCTGGTAAAGAATGTTAGCCATTTACCATCCATTTTATCTTTGGCAATATGGTTAATCCTCTTGTGTGTTCACATCAAGCCTTTAATCAAGGGAATGGTTTGCTGTGACAATTGCCATATTGCAGCATAGTCACTTTACTGCTGAAAAATAAAACAAAGAACACTTTCAGGTACCTGTTTTGAGTTTATAGCCTCGAGAGTTATTCTGAGCACTCATGGCTTCAGCTTAAGTTTCCAAGATCACAGGAGTTATCTTATTTGCAGTTTGCTTTTCCTGAGAAGTGTGACAACGTAGTGTTAGAGTCACAAAGAGCTTTCAGTTTGACTACCGTATTTGGATTGCTGACCACTATTGCATCTGCATTTAAAACTGACTGGAGACAGCTTAGGGCCCAATACTCTTTAAGTACTGTCTCAAGGCAAATCTAAAAAAAAAATCTAGTATAAACACTGACAACTGGGAAACACTGGCCTGTGAGCACTCCAGTTGGAGAACAGCCTTTACCAAAGGTGTCATGGGTTTGAAGACACTCGAACTCAGGACGCAAGGGAGAAAAGTGCTAGGAGGAAGGTATGCTAAGCAAATCCACACCGTGATCAACTCCCACCCAGAAACCAATGTCTCCACTGTGGAAGGACATGTGGATCCAGAATTGGCCTCCACAGTCACTTATAGACTCATTGTTTAAACCGTGTTTATGGAAGACAATCTTACTCGGCTACGAGTGATCGCCAAAGAAGAAGTATCTAAGATTTCTCCAATGAGGCAACACAGAGAAAATTTACATAGAGAAGTATAAGGAGAAAGGATGAAATTCCCCTGTACTGCTATCCTGATCCAGTTTGGAGGGTCCTCTGGCTGTAGTCTTTTCAAACAAAAAATAAAGAGATGAGAAGTCAAGTCATAGCTCATCAGAACCTCATGATTGACCTTCCAAAGAAAGCTGCAAAAAGTTAAGTGCATTTGCGTGAATACTGTGAATATTTGGGAAAGTGACATTTATCCACTAAACAATCAATGGCAGGATGCCCATTTTTTAGCCTAAGTCTGGTGTCGGTCATATGCTTGGTATTGGGCCAAAAAGGAGGCATAGTTAAAACAGATGTTCTGCTAAGAGAGATGGTGCTCACTTAGTTTAGGACGATCAGTGAATTTGCTGAAGTGAGTAACACATATATTATAGCCTTACTATAACATGTACCACCTACTTTAGTTTTCAACAGCTAAAGTTAGAATATATAACCAGAGTAATGCTCTTTGCATCCCAGATATTGCATCCTAGGGCTACATACATATTAATGAGGGTACACCTGGAAGTTATTTTCATATCTACAAATATTACATTAAAGGGGCTTATCTAGGAAGTAATGTGTTGCTAAGTTGCTTCTGGGTTTACCAGCCTTTCACATATATAAATTTATTTTTATTTTACAAAAAATGTATCCTGTGCTGTTATATACAGTGAACATCAAGGTGCACAGCAAGTGTAGAACAAAATATATTACTATAATTAAATGTAAGATGCATAAAGAAATATAAATGTTTGGGTGGTCCTACATGCTGAAACATAGAAACTGCCTTCTGCAGAGATGAACATGAGCTAGGTTTAGAGTATTACTGGTTGATGTAGTCCTACAGTGACATCTTGTGGATCTTTGCTGCCTTAATATGTTCTACTTCAGCCTGCCTGAGGATTATTATTTTTAAACAGTCATAGAAATAAAAAGAATATAGTACATTTCAGTCATTGCTCAATTGTCACCTGCTTTACTCAGGGTGAATGGTCCCCTATAAACACCCTTCATACATAAATGGAGAGTTGTTAAGCCTGCAGCTCTGCAGGCAGAAGAGACTTGATTCAGTTCCCTTTCTCCCACCAACTTGTATGCAAATAAAGTTTACATTTGGTTCCTCATTCCAGTTCAGCCAGTGCTGCTCAGCAGTTTGCTTCTTGTAGCAGTTCTAACTATAGAACTGCAAACCCTGACAATGCCTCTTGTTTTGATGGAGGACAAATAGAAGTGTCTGTAGAAGCTAGCCTACTGTACAAAAGTAAATTTGTATTTGTTGCTCTCCCCCACTTTTTCCTCTGGCTGTGCTCACGCCAGCATATGACCTGGAAGGTTACTCAGAAGGGAATGTGGTCCTTGGGCTGGACAATATTATCAACACTTGATGTAATGGAACAAGATCTCCAGGGATCTATGCTGGAGATCTATCAAACTGCACAATTAGTCGATGGTGAACTCTTGTCACTGTATTGGAAAGGTAAACAGCAAACTCTTCCTGTTTAAAGGGAACAACCTTGACCACAGTGGAATAAATTTTCTAAGCAGCAACATAGCTGGAACAACATTTTACTGGGAAGAGTTATTTGACAACAAAAGCTCTGTACTAATGGGGAAGCTACAAAATATCAGAGTAACAGAACTTTATTCCCAAAACATCAAAGACCTCTTGTCCTACCATTTTACTTCTGGCTTATTATGTCACGGGCCTGCTTAGTCTGATGCTAGTAACTGTGCGTGTGTAGCTTAACAGGAAGAAGGCCTAGTTTTACAAAGCAAAGCGAAAGGCCCTGGAAATGTTACCGAAAGCAGCTGTGTCTCAATTTTATGCAGAGCACAAATGACTTCTGGATCCATAGGTGTGATTTACTTCCCCCTACACTTTAGAAGATACAGGGTATACACCCTGCTACTGGTTACTAATAATCACAGAGGCATTATAAGCAAGAAAAGAATCATCTGTGCTATGCATTTCAAGAAGTATCATGCCACTGGAAACAGTCCGGGCTTCTCTCACAGAATCCTGGGAGCTGCAGTTAAAGGGGCTGAGAGTTGTTAGGAGAGACCCCCAATTCCCCTCGCAGAAGCTACAACTCTGAGAGCATATTAACAATCAGTCCTGGAAATGGGAGGTCTATGAGGGGAATAGGTTGACTTCCCAGCCCAGGCTCAGCTAATAACTTTAATTCCCGCTTTTGAGCTCCCCCCCCCAATTATCCCGAATGTGTGGGATGTAGAGGCTGAGGCCAGGGCCAGATTTAGGTTTGATGAGGCCCTAAGCTACTGAAGGTAATGGGGCCCTTTATATGTCCAGCTGTCCTTTGTCAACAGCAAATTCTCCTGTTTTTGTGTTGAATATATGCTATATGGTAATTTATGGACCTAATAGGTATCTAAAGCCATTTGCACATTGTTGCCATGCGACCAGTCCATGCAGAATGTAGGCACCCTATATATGTTGTTGTTGTTGTTTAGTCGTGTCCGACTCTTTGTGACCCCATGGACCAGAGCACGCCAGGCACCTCTGTCCTCCACTACCTCCCGCAGTTTGGTCAAACTCATGCTGGTAACCTCGAAAACACTATCCAACCATCTCATCCTCTGTCGCCCCCTTCTCCTTGTGCCCTCCATCTTTCCCAGCATCAGGGTCTTCTCCAGGGAGTCTTCTCTTCTCATGAGGTGGCCAAAGTACTGGAGCCTCAGCTTCACGATCTGTCCTTCCAGTGAGCACTCAGGGCTGATTTCCTTAAGAATGGATGTGTTTGATCTTCTTGCAGTCCATGGAACTCTCAAGAGTCTTCTCCAGCACCATAATTCAAAAGCATCAATTCTTCGGCAATCAGCCTTCTTTATGGTCCAGCTCTCACTTCCATACATCACTACTGGGAAAACCATGGCTTTAACTATACGGACCTTTGTTGGCAAGGTGACGTCTCTACTTCTCACTGCCTCCATTTCTTCCCCTTCTATTTGCCAGGAGGTGATGGGACCAGTGGCCATGATCTTCGTTTTTTTGATGTTGAGCTTCAGACCATATTTTGCGCTCTCCTCTTTCATCCTCATTAAACCTTATATATAGAAATGAGCAAACCAGTGATATTTTAGGGAGCAGGCAGGGTCCATTCCTTACAGCATAGGAGCCTACACAACACAAACACCGTTGCTGTATGTAGGTTTTATTTTATTTGTTTTTTATATTATATTTTGGAAATGTACATCCAGGTTTTCTTCCCTTTAAATTTTTTTGGGGGCCCCAAGAGAGTGGGGCCCTAAGCTACAGCTTGTTTAGCGTATACGTAAATCCGGCTCTGGCTGAGGCATGCAAAGGGAAACAGAGCGAGATTTCGACCATTAGGGCTTCTGTGCTTTTGACAGCTGCGCGACAGGCAGAGGCTCAACAGGTGGAGCCGCCTCTAGCAAAACGACGCAGGGCAGAGGAAAAGCTTCCCTTGCCGTCCCGCGTTGGATAAAAGACACACAAAAGCCCGGGAAGAAGAAGAGCGGGGGTCCGAGCATGGCGGAGCCGAGAAGTCCCGGGAGCGCTCTCTCTCCCCCACCCGGGCGGAGCGGGCCAGGGGGCGGCCTCAGTCAGCCCTTGGCTCCCGCCTGCTCCAGCGGATGCGAGTCGCCGCCGCCGCCGCCGAAGGGGCGGGGAAGGGGCTGCGGCCGAGGTGGCCCACGAACGGCAGCCTCGGAAGAGGAGGATGTGGAGCGGCAGCGGCGGCGGCCCCTCAGGAGACCTAAGGCGTCGGACCCCTGAGAGCTCGGAGCCGAAGGCCGGTGAGGACTGGGCTCTTCTCGGGCTGAGGGGGCGGCGGGGACGCCGGAGTTCCTTCTCGCCTCGGCTCCACACGCCCGGCGGCGGGCGCGGGAAGAAAAGAAGCGGGATTTTTCTCCTCAGGCGGAGCCGCTTCTCTAATGGGGGAGAGCGGGAAAGCGCCGCCTCTTCCCCCTCACCCCCCTGGAGCCTTGGGAGCGGCAGGCGGCGGGAAGCAAGGGGGAAGGCTTTGCTCCCTCGGGAGAAGTTTCAGTGCTGCTCTCCCCTCCCTGTCTCCGCCGCCCCTAGAGGCGGCACTTGGGCAGCCCGGCAGCAGCAGGCGAGGAAGAAGACTAAAGCGGGGCTGCCGGTCCGTGTCCTGCCTCGCCAGGGCTCCTGGGCCTCCAACCGTCGCCGCCTCGGCTAGAGAGGCAGAAGTTGGGAAGGTCCCTCACTTGTTGACTTCCAACGGTTAAAGGCATCGGAGCCCTGCAGAAAAAAATGGGGCGGGGGGGGGGGAATCCGACGAAGGGAAGTTATTGTAAAAAAAAAACAAAGGTAAAAGTTATGGTACTGCACCCTATACCGGGGCTTGGGGCCCTGGGGCTCCTTGGGTCCAGGGGCTCCTGGACTACAGCCTCCATCAGCCCCAGCCAGCAAGGCCGGTGGTCAGGGAAGGTGGGAGTCTAGCAACATCTGGAGGCCACAGTTCCCCCATCTCTGCCATATATTGTGACAGGACGTGTTATTATGACCTGTGCTCCTCTTCTTCTTTTGTAAAGTTTCTTTTATTTCATTTTACAGCATGTATAAAGCAGAAGTATTAACAGCAACAAGTTGGAAAACAAAACTATAAAATAGGCACCTAGAATGAGTCCAGTTGTTGCACATGGGTTAAAACAACAAAAGTCTGAGTAAAGACTGTCGTCGTTTCCAGAATATCAAGGTGACCTGTATTTGTCGATTTAACAGGATTTGTTTATCTTGCTTAATTTTAAATAGGACCATTCAGCAGTTTCCAAGGAATGCATTAAAATTATTCGTAGAAGCCCCAAGTTAAAAACGAGGTCATTATAAGCGAAAGTTACAGATGAAAACACATATTGACAAAGTTTTTATAAAGTTTTTGTGCAGGCATTAAAAAGTGTATAGATAGGGCGTTCTGCCTAATGTCAGCTGGTAGGAAGTTCCAGAATGCAGGAGTTGGCAGTCTAAAATACAATCCTTACAATGCTGGAATTTGTGTCACTGTAAGTACCTCAGTACATATAAATAGTGATGTGTCTGGAATTGTGTGTGGATGTGTGTGTATTTAATAAATATACTAGTTTTCGAGATATCACGGGTACAGGAATGCAGGTTTTGGTGTCCTCGGGTGTCTTCCGTGAAGGGTCTGACGTTTCGCGAGTTCACTGTCATCTTGTGTTTCGCCGAAGCACAGCCTTGACGAGTGAGCCTTGAACGTCGCCTATATATATATATATATATATATATATATTATATATATGGTTGCTGTTTCTATGACATTTTTGGTTGTTACTTACCAAAAATGGTAGCAATCAGCTGAAAGTCTAAAGTTTGAAGACATTCTTCTAACTTGCCCTTATTGGACCTGTTGCCACATAAGGAATTTACAGGTTATAATGCTGGAATTTGCTCTTTTAGTTATTGTAACAAATAATCATCTAGATAAGCCTTTATGAAGCAGGTGCAGCCAACTCTCAGAAGACTGAAGAAGCTAGATTGGTGGGCAAGATTTATCTGTCTGCTTTGATAACTGTATCTTGCAACTTCCCCAATCCCATCTCCAACCAAGAAAACAAACTAACAAAAAATAGATAAGGATTTGTTTATTTAATGGCCCACACTTCCTCCCAAAGGTGCCCAGAGCAGTAAACACTTGTGATTTAAAAAATAATTAAAGATAAAAATATATATTTAAAAACATAAAAAACAGTTAAGCACAATAAAACATGTAAAACAATTTTAAAAACTGATATAGCGAAAACATGTGCCTGGACAGACATGAAACAGAACACTTTTCAGCAGGTGTGTAAGAGAGTATAGTGATGGCACCTGCTTAATGTCAACAGGCATGGAGTTCCAAAGCACAAGTGTTGCAACATAAATTGTACTGATTAAAGTCGTTAAATTTCTTCTTTTGACAACCAAGAGGGGTGCTGTTCCTCAGAGTACTAAAAACACAGTATGTAGAAAAGCATCTTGTAACTACTGTCTGTTCCACCTTGTAAATCCAACTTCAGCTTTGCAAGGGCTGAGAGTTACAGAGGTGGAGCAGCTTTTTTTTGGGGGGGGGGAGGAGGAAACAGTTAAACATTTCTCTCCAAAGCCACTTCACTGATCTTCAAATACAAAAAAAAGTGGGAGATCTGGGTCATGGATTGTCTGTCCCTGAGGATCAAACTAAATTAATTAAGGTGGCAAACCAAGCGTGGCCAACCATGATCCAATCTCCAATATATATATTGGGGGGGGGGAGTTAAAAGGAATCATGAGACTGATTTAGATTGGAGCTGCAGTTCTGGGGAAAGGATATTTAACCCTTCACCCCCTGCACTAGTTTCCCAATCTCAGTTGCATCCCTCTGAAGCATCCCTCTTTGCACTGCAGAAGAAAATGTGCACATACTGCTCAGACACTCTTTGGGATGAAGAGTGGCATCATTTGCAGCCAGCAATTGTGGGATCATTGTGCCTCATCATTGTGGTTCAGGTGAGCAGGTTTGTATGCCTTTGTCATATGACTTGGGGTTCAAATTGATTCTTGCTGTGTCATCCAAAGTGTAGCTCTGGAACACAGTGAGGGGCAAAGAAATACCCACAAGAATTGACACACTGTTATTGCTTTGTTTGACTCTACTTTTAGCTGGAAAGATATCTGACTTAGAACCTTAATTGCACAATACTAGTATGCAGAGGTGCCAACTCCTTGGGGCCCTGGGAGTGCAATCACCCACAAAAATCCCCGTGAAGGGGTCGGGCACCCGCAAATTTCAGAACCAGGGCCATGTATGCTGCATGGCACCCATGGCTCCAGGCACCCACAGTCGCGGGATCAAGTTGGCACTCCTGTTAGTATGAATAGTGCTTTGGAAAGTTTAGAAGAGAAATTTTGTGGAAGTGATCTTCCCAGATATCTTAGAGGCCTACTCAGCTGTCCCTATCATATTTCTTGTGAGATCACTAAGCAAGGCAGAACAGCTTATGCATGCATTTTTCATGTAGCTAGCTCTGACTCTTGATTAAAATCTAGATTGTTAGCTCATTGTATATCCTCTTGTGTCAGACTGGAAGAGGTCAGTACATTCAAATAATATGCATATCAACCAAGAGATAATATACTTTCCACCAAAATCAATGATATTTTTCTGAAAATGATTTCTGGCATATGCAGTGATTTCCAGACTCCTGTGGCAATTTAAACATATAACAAATTCATTGCAGCATAGGATTTTGTGGAATGATATGTTCTGGTGTTCCTGCTCCTTAAATGCTTCTGTTGTTTCTCTGAATTACAAGTTGCCCATTTTTGATAGCTGTAATACCTAGTGGACTTTTCTGAAGTTTTGTATATGTCCTTTTCACACGATAATTTGTACCTCTGTATGTTAATCCATAGACTGCTAATTGCATGGAAATGTCACTGCATGCGTTCTCTTACACATAAAAGTTGCACAATCATTTCTGTATTGAAATACTTGCAAAGTATTTTCTCAAAAGGGACGCGGGTGGCACTGTGGGTTAAACCACAGAGCCTAGGACTTGCCATTCAGAAGGTCGGCGGTTCGAATCCCCGCGATGGGGTGAGCTCCCGTTGCTCGGTCCCTGCTCCTGCCAACCTAGCAGTTCGAAAGCACGTCAAAGTGCAAGTAGATAAATAGGTACCGCTCTGGCGGGAAGGTAAAGGGCGTTCCTGTGCGCTGCTCTGGTTCGCCAGAAGCGGCTTTGTTGTGCTGGCCACATGACCTGGAAGCTGTACGCCGGCTCCCTCGGCCAATAAAGCGAGATGAGCGCCGCAACCCCAGAGTCGGTCACGACTGGATCTAATGTTCAGGGGGTCCCTTTACCTTTACTTATTTTCTCAAACAAGACAAGGGCTGCTCTCCAGCACAGAGTGAAGGATGTTTAAGTGCATTGAAACTAGTCGGCTTTAGCCAGCCTCTGTGTTTTTTTGTGGTCATGTAGTACAGTGATACCCCAATGCCCACATTAAAATAATTTCCTTCCTATTTGTTCTCTTCTCAAACTTCTTCACATTAATTAGAAAAGTGTGTTTTATTTCCTCTTCTGCTTTTTTGCTGGTGGATTATGTGATACTTAGACCACTTACATTTTCTATGTAAAGAGTGCCTTTAAAAATACAGCCCTCTTCCACAATCATAGAATCATAGAATTGGAAGGTGCCCCAAGGGTCATCTAGTCCAGTCCCCTGCAAAGCAGGAAGCTAAAGAATCCCTGGCAGATGGCCATTCAACCTCTGTTTAAGAAATCCCCAGCAAAGGAGAGTCTACTACCTTCCAAGGTAGTCCTTTCCACTGTTGAACAGCTATTACAACAACAACAACAACAACAACAACAACAACAACAACAAGGGGGGCTGCCCTTCTCCTTCCTTGGGGAAAACTCCCAAGAGCTGCACACACGCTCCGTGCGCTCTTTAAAGGGAGTGCGGCTCTTGGGGGAGCCTTCCTCCCACTGCCCAGGAGAGGCTGCGCGCGGCTATCCCATAAGCCAGGACAGCAAGAGGCTTCTTGGATTCAGAATATTCTGTTCTGGCTTCTTGGATTCAGAATATTTTTTTTCTTGTTTTCCTCCTCCAAAAACTAGGTGCGTCTTATGGCGTCTTATAGAGCGAAAAATATGGTAGCTAGAATGGATATTTCTTGGGAATTACTTAGAAATCTGTTCAAATGGTTTGAAAACCTTTTTACTGCATCAATTGCTTATCACATTCACATTAAAGAGGGCCCTCCATTAATCCCACCCCTAGCACATTTAGCCTG